CATTTAAAAAGTGTAGTTACTAAAATAACAAGAAAATGCATTCTTCATCATTGCAGGCAGGTAAGACCAAATTCTTGGCCAGAGATTTAGCTCAGTGGTTCTGGCACCTCCCTTGCAAGTGCAAGGACCGGAGTTCAATCCCCAGGACCAAAACAAAACAAAAAACCCTCTCAGGAAAGATAGGGCACTTTTTTCTTGTCTCATCATGACAAAGTGCCACAAAAATAACAAGAAAATGCATTCTTCATCATTGCAGGCAGGTAAGACCAAATTCTTGGCCAGAGATTTAGCTCAGTGGTTCTGGCACCTCCCTTGCAAGTGCAAGGACCGGAGTTCAATCCCCAGGACCAAAACAAAACAAAAAACCCTCTCAGGAAAGATAGGGCACTTTTTTCTTGTCTCATCATGACAAAGTGCCACAGTCTTGGAGGAAGGGATCGGAGAAAAGCATTCATACCATTTTCTTCCTCCTTCTCTCCTCCCTTTCCCCTTCTCCTCCTTTTCTTCCTCTCTGCCTCTGCCTGTCTTCAGCCTATCTTTCTTTGTGGTACTGTTTTTTTTTCTTTGGTACTGGGCATCAAACTCGGCTCCTTGCACTTGCGACGCTGGCAGTGGAATCACTGAGCTAAATCCCCGGCCCAGTTTTTATCTTTTTTGTATGTAGCACTGAGCAACATCCTTTGCCCTTTTTATTTTTGATTTGGGGACAGGGTCTTGCTAAGCTGCCCAAGGCGGGCTTGAACTTGCAGTCCTTCTGCCTCAGCCTTCCAGGGTACTGTGATTACAGGGATGTACCTCCAAGCCCAGCTTTATCTTTTCTTTCTCTCCTTCCTTCCCTTCCTTCTTCCTTCCTGGAAGGAGCTACTGTGCGTATGGTTCAGGTCTTTCCTGGCTGCATCCTGGGTCAGACAATTTAGACTAAGGATAAGGAGAGGTTGGGCATTGGCTACATGTGGGTACCAGTTTATGGTAGCTCACAGCTGGATGAGACAGATGCTGTAAACCTGGGCTCCCCAGGAAGCAGAGTCAGAGATAGAGGTTAATACCCACAGATTCCATGCTGTGGAGTGGGTGAGGTGCAGGATTGGTGAGAGGGCAATGCAGGTGTGTGCAGCCCAGTGAAG